TCATCGCAAGTATCATTACATATTTACATATTTACATCAAGTTTTCTCCATTTGCGTAGGTGGCACTAAGGTATTGTTACATAATTCATCTCATTCTCAATTTCAAGGAACCGCGCCTACACCATATCTGTTTCTCGTTCTCTTATGCGTTGTGCCGTCGACTGAATATACCTATCCAATATAATTTTCCTCGTCTCATTAATTTACTTTTCATAGGCAATATATCATTTTTCTGCCTGTGTTTCAAATTGTGTCAATTTTTCTATATTATTCATTGTACCTGCCATAACCATGTTATTCATTTCTGTTATATATGATCTTGTGGTTGTGAGTTTTTCGTCTGAGCTGGTGGCCCGTTGGTCGTACATCCCCGGGATTTTCACACATTTAATATTATATCATTGTATTTTTTATCGTGCAAGTGTGTGCATCCCAAGACGGTAGCGTTCCGGTTTAAAGCCACCAACGGACACCAGTCTCCAGGTAATCGGGTGATGAGCCATATTATTTATTAATTATTAGTTCCTATTATTCATATGTATATTTAGTATATTGATACTGGCAATCTTATTATTATTATTCTGTGTATTATATATTGTGTAACTAGCCAACCAGGATAATTATTTATTATTTCAATTCTAACTGTTACAAACTTATTAAATATCTTTAAGCTACCTCATTATACAGTCCACTATAAATTCATTCCTCATATTATATCCTCGCTTAAGGCACCGCTGCTAATTATTGTGCAGCAGCTGATAGGCGCAATCACTGATATTGATAATAAAACATGCAAAGCGTTCATCGATCACGGTAAAGGAAATGCAAAAAAATAATTTTTACGCATCATGCAAGGATGTTATAGTATGAATATAAGATATAATCAAATGTTTACCGTGGTTTAGATTTCAGTTTTTTCAAAAATGATTTATAACGAGCTAAAATGATGTGATTATGTAATAAACGTTAATGTATTTTAAAATAATAAGTGTCTTACAAATCCGGGAATTTTTATGCAGGCTCTTAAGAGAAATTATAAAAAAATGTTCTATAATACTCCATATTTTTATTAAGTCATGTAGACTGGGGGCCATTTCACACACCTTTTAATCCAGGCTTGTATGTACAATAGGTCCCAAAACATATATATTTGATGCGGACTCCAATGTATTTATCGTACTAGGTGATTAAAAATGTACAAAGTAATTATCCGTTTTGTGATTATTTTGGTAATTCAGCTGATACTCTTAGCTCTTGATGATATTTTCAATAAACTTTGAAAGGTACATAAATATATAACAAACAAGGAAAACACATAGGTATTAATTGAAAATTATCTTTATTAAATATAAAATATATAATTTGAATCTCGTCAAAATGAAAGCATTCGCTTTTCAAACAAGACCGTATTTAGAATTTTTCACGAGGTCAAATGAAAAATAAATTAATGTCAATACAAATAATATATTATTTAGGTATAATCCAAATAATTTAATATTTGAAATAACACCCGTTCTAATTACGGTCTTGCTATAAGTATAATTAATTTATACCTAATTACTTAAATATATCAATTAAAATAATTGTCTTGATTTTAAATATAAATATAAAACAATTTAAATACTAAAATTATTATAATTGACTTTTATAAACCAGCAAACAATGCTGATTGACAAGGCATTCGTCAATAACTTGATATGGCTTTTCTTTTGTATCTTTGATCTATACTAAGCGTGTATTTAAAGTTCTCTAACTTTATTAAATTTTTTTATATTTTAAGTTGCACACTGTAATAACTTATTCGAAGTTATCTTTTGATACCCGCGCAAAGGTGTATTTCCTGCAATGTAATTCAAAACCAAGAACCCCCAACATTAACCTAATTAGATCCCTCATTAATTGTTCGTGACTAGTATTGTGATCATTGATCATATAGGTCATATAGTCACTGTAAATATTTTCGATTTATAGTTTAAATTAAACTATATACGTAAGAAAATTTGAAGATGTAATACTAAAAGTATAGCCATTGTTGCTATTTACAATCAATAGTTAAAATTACATTGTACGGAGAAGTGCAGTGGCCTACCGGGCAACCAGAATAAAGCGTAGATTGCTTACACAAAAAATAGCCCATGGGCCTTCAATCTATAATTCAATAATTATTTATGTGATGAATTTAATTTTTGACTTTAATATATTTTGAGCAAAAATTAGTCTCCTAAAGGGATAATAATAGATTGTTTTCTACTCCTTAATCACAAAATAACCAGAAGGATTACTTAATGAGAACTCGAAAATCGGCGAAAAATTGTTGGTTATCAGTTTAGACAGAATTCTACCATAATTTAAAAATTATAATAATATATTAGGATCATAATTGATAATAATATTACTTCTTAAAGTCTGGTCGCTGAGAGAGCGCTTCTGGGCGGCGACCAAAGGTCGTCCTATCTTGTGCATTCCCATCACTAAACCTGCCGGCTAGGTGGTAGAGTGAGAGACGAAACCGAGGAGCTCAATCACTTGTATGCGCGAAAGAGTACTACCCTCTCAGTGGCCCGAGTTTAGTATGTCATTAATATTCTATATCCTATAGAATTAACAAAAAATTTAAAATAGTCCACTAAAAGCGCTAGCATCGGGATCAAGATTTAAATCATATGCCGTCTTATCATAGCTCGTTGGACAACCATACTATCTACCATCGTGACGATAAATAAAAATTTCTCTTTTGCAAACTGTTTTTACAGTATAGACAGTATAAATATTTTATTTTTCAATAATAATTGATGAAGTAAAGTGATCTGTTTATTGTATCAATAAGTTGTACCATTGATTATTATATTTATACAGGCTACAGAGCCAACCTAAATGTACAGTAAGTCTATACCCAATAAGAACGGGGTATATTTTATTGTTCCACACAACATGTGTCCCAATGGACTTTAGTTATACAAATCTCTGAGTGATAAGCACTGTTCGAAAAATGATATGGTGGTTAACCTGTTATCAACTTGAGGTGGTGTTGCATAGCAAGTCGAAGGATATTTTCATTATTGGCCAAGCGGGCATCACTGTAAATAGTTTACAATATTTTTTCACATATATGTCACTGCTGTATCACTGGTATATGCTGGTATGACTTGGTAGAAATAAAAATGATTGGTAAAATTCATGGTATAAACTTTCTTATCATTTTTCGGACAATAGATAACGGAACCAAAATTATGTGGAACAAAAGGTAGCGATCCCATAACAGCCACGATTAAAGATATGTTTGTCCAACGAGCTAAGGAATTGCTGTCTTCATAATTATTATTCTCAAGATAAAACCATTCTGTAGCGTTCATAAACCGCAGTGGAATATTTATATACTGTTTTACTATATTATATCCACAAATATATAAAGATGTAGGTAAACTGAGTCCACTTAAATGGGTCTAAATATGATAATATAAGTATCTAATTCACGACATTTAAGTAACAATCTACGAATTCAAATAAACAAGGGACCCAATACAACGTCCTATCGGCAATTAATATATCTTAATTCGTGATAAGGACCCATGTAATACTAGAAAAGTGATCCTTCTAGTCATTCTGCGCTTCAATATCAACACAATACATTGAGAAACTTAATAATTAACGACAATCTAGAAGAATAAGTATGTTATTGTCTATAGATAAATCAATTTTGTTGGAATTATATAATGATAAAATAACAATGAACTGGGTATTAAAAGTAATCTTTTAAGGGGATTGCAAATGTACAACTATCCAAAAAAATAAACTAAAATGTACCTATCTTTCGTCAATCATACCGATGGACCTGAAAACTTTTAAATTTGATAATATGTCTATTATTTAACTATACATTCTACAGAATTATAAATGTTGATTATTCGAAAATTAAGTAAAAATAGCTTTAAATGTGGCACGATCAATCTCTAGTCGACATATTAACGAATTCAAATCAGTTTTCAAAAGTGTAGAAGCGTTATCTGGTCCATCGGTAGGATTGACAAGAAGTACACGACTCATAAGTGGGCACGCGAGACCGTTCCGCCACTTTATTTACACAGCCACACACACTAATGATCAGTTACTATGCACACATTCACAAGACCCGCCAGAATACAATTTAATATAGCCTATTTTAAACTCCTTAAAAACTGTCCATTTGCAATCCATTTAAGTAAATTGTTATTTTAATTATTTATTAAACGTTTATGTAATAAACTATTTCTTAATTGTTTTCAATATTTAACACCGTTAAATTGGTAGATTGTCCAAATATAAAATTAAAGAAATTAATAATTTTTCGATAAGAAATTTTAGGTGTCAAGAATTTATTCTACTAACGAATATATATATAATACAGCTCAAAGTAATATAGAAAATAATAATTTAGGAAAACTTATGTGATGATCAGCATAATATGATCTCTATAAGTTGAATGGACAAAAATAATATTTTAAAATACTTTCCAAACAACAATTTACATTACCTTTGTTTTTACTTAGTAATTAGTAAAGGTCATATTGAAAAGAAGCCTGAAAATATAGGTTTACCCGCTAAGAATTTTGGAGCCACTTCACCTCTGGAATTCGTCTGCATAAAAATCAGTCAAGTTTTAAAACTACCTATTGACTAAACAGTTTATCAAATACTCTTCTTTTAATTATTATACTTATAGGTAAGTTGAATAACAAACAAAAATTAAAATAGTCTTAGTTAAATGGTTATAAAGTTCAGTCAGTCTTTCAATTAAATTACTATAACAACAGTAGGTATACAAATAATAATACTATGAACTTATAGTAAACCATATAATAGAAAAGTCATGCACTCCTATTATATAAAACATACAACAGTAATAAAATTATCTATTACAATAATAATAATAATAATGAAAATAATAATTATTATTATTAGAATAACAATTATTCTCATGTCATAGGTATTTAACAATTAAATAATAAAATTGAATACATAAATGAAAAAATAAATGAAGTTATAATCAATTACAAAAGAAAATGCAATTGATATGATTATGTAATATGATAAAATAAAAATCAATGTGAAATAATGAACAATGTTTATAATAATTTTAATTAATAATTTTGATTAAATAAACTACAATCCAGTTAAAAACTATGACGACATTCGTTTTGGTGGTAATGCCAATCAGATTTCTGAAACAAAAAAAAATTAACTAATTACTTGACAGTATGTTTGAATATATAATATAAATACAGCTAAATCTAACACTGCATACTATACTAATGGATGGATGGAGTGTGGGAAAATTTTAGGAATGATAAAATAAATCAATAAAAATACTTTGTAACAAAATAGAATTTATTTGCTATAAATATATTTATTGAAATATTATTAATATCAGGTAAAAATTGGTTTCATAGGGAAAATAAAAAACATAAAAATCTTACTTGGCATTTTGCACAGCAATAAAAAGCAACCATACAATTATTACAAGACAAATTTGAAGTATTTGTACAATTGGCAGCCATACACTAAAAAAGATGAATTAAATGATTTATAAATTAGTATAAATTCAACTTTTCAAGCACCAAAATATTTTTAAAACTAAAATACAAAAATAGAAACAAAATATCCAATAGATCAAATGGGTCAAATTTTTCAATTAGCTATGCAAGTATAATACAATGATATAATATCTACATAGTTAAAACGTTTCTGCTGGCAAATAAATAGCAGCTGCAATTTATTTAAGAGGACGCTACCCCGACATGGGCTGTTTCCCCGTTTTCCAAATATTAAACATAACAAAAACTGTTTTTAACGGGTAAGAACGCTGTAGTTCAAGTTTAAGAACTACATTTTCACTATAAAAAAACCTTGATGGTGAAACGTTGATTTTAATTTTTCGGTATCACAAATACGAAAAGTTTTTATGGTTTAAAAATTCATTATGTTTAATTAGTAAAAATACCACCACACACGTGTTCCTTAACCCTACAGTCCCAAAACCCTACAGTACTACAACCTACAGCTAATGGCCCCAGTTGCCGAAGCTTAAAAAGAAAAAAAAATACCACGTACGAACACAGATAATGGTCTTTGATAAAGTTTCATAATAGTTTCATATTCACTGTAATTTTTAAACTAACGAAGCTACAAGTAATCTACAGAGCATACATTTTCTATGTAACGCACTTGTAAGATGGAGAAACTAATGCCAGTCATCTCAAGGCTAAAAATTGGGACATTCCATTTAAATAGAATACATCCATCCTCTTTAAATTATTTTCAGGCTGATATTTTTGCTATTAATTTAAGTCTTATACAACTTGTACCAATTCTGATTATCCCAATTATTAGTGAACATTATTCATGCATGAGAAAATAAAACATCAATGTTCTCCTTACTTAAGTACGCATTAAAAGACTAATATGACGACTAGAGATAAAGATAATTTCGAACTATCTGATTCAAACAGTTGATAAACATAGATGATAAAATACCCGATGGATAATTATTTCTAAAATAAAATATAAGCATCCAAAATAAATTGTTATAGGTTTTTGTAAGACTAAACAATTTTTAGACACGGGACTTCCTTATTTATAGGAAACCGGTATTATTTAGGCTGTATAATAAACGATTGAGAACGTTCGACCTTTTTTAGCGTACGATTGAGATCACTCGAAATGGAACAATGAAATAACCGCTGACCCAAAAAAAACAGTACTATTGAGAACGAAATTAAGTGCAATATTGCCGAACTATATTCAAGTCAAAATAAAAATGAAATAAAACATTCAATAAAATAATTAAAAAATATTAAAAAAAATATGTTCAGCCCTTAATTTATAATTTGTTATAATTCTAATTTTAATATTTTTTCACTAAAATTTCGAGGATAATTTAAAAATTAATTACATTTTTCTAAAAATTTCTGAAGGCCATAACTAGCTCAAAAAGAGTTAAAATTTTTCAAAAATTGTGCTATTTGTGGAACATGCTAAAATAAATATTTGGTAAAAATTTCAAGAGTCTACGGTTTATGGTTTTTGAATTACACTAAAATAATATCATTTTTTATAATTTTTTTCAAAAATTGTTAAAATCTATGTATTATATCATTAAGATAGCGAATGTCACATAGACAGTGTATGAGCAGCTCTAAGAGTCATATATATTTATATAGGCTATAGCCATAGCCGATTTTTATAAAGCAAAGTTTGGAAACGTTGCGCGGAAAAATAAAAACTGAGCGTTCTCAATCGTAATAGTCAAAAGGGTCTAAAAAAGGTATCGCCAATAATGACCATTCTCAATCGTATTCCTGCCAGTATTTATGCTACCGGGCAAAAATTGATGAATGCCGAAAAGAGTGCTGAACACCGGTTTAGTCCTGGCCAAATCAGGACGAATGGCAGCCCTAAGTTTCTCAAATATTTTCTTTATAATCTTAAACCTGTTACTAGAACTATATAAAATGTTGGATAAATATTGTTTTTTCCCTATTTTGCCTTTCAAATACACAAATGTTTGTAAAACCAATAGGTGCTAAAAGCTATCCCATTATCTTATGTTTATACTATTAGAATATCAAGTTCCATATTAAATGAGTAACCAATCAATATTTACCGTTTTCTTTAAAGTATTAGAATCCTGGTGATTTGGCATGTTAGGTAGTCGTGCATCAGGCAAATCTGGTGAAACCTGTACATGTTTTAAAATCATGATCAATATTCATTAATCATCATCAAATATTATTCATAGATTTTAACCTATATGATATAATTTATAAAACTATTGTTGTAATAAGCTTTTAATTGTTAGTACTTAAAAATTAGGTTAAGTAAACAATTATAGGTAATAAGAAATATCATAACAAATAAAATTAAACAACAACAAAAAGCATACAAGTAGGCTAGGATAACAATAATATAAATTATGCAAGATGCAGTAAAAACAAATGTTAGTATGTAAAAACTAGATTAAGAAAACATTTATTTTGTAAATGAATTATTCAGTAATTTTTACATTATTCGTCAAAATTTAAAATGTGTATATAAGGGAGTTGTTAAAACAGGAAAATGGTCAGAGATGGTAATCGTGTGACTCGTGATTAAATAAAAACGTATTACAATATTTTTGGTGGTTGTTTATTGTGTACGTTCGAGTAATCAGCGTATACGACACTATATTATTAATATCAATTATAAACAAAGATATTGAGCAAGGTTCAGAGTTAGTCTTAGTAGTTACACGTCTATAGAAATCTGCTCCCCGCCTCACTTGTATCTCATAACTCATAATCTATTCAGTCTATCCATCTCTTCGTCGAGCACGCACTTCCTATCTTTACTTCGACATTAATTTCAATAGATACTCTCACTCCCTCCAAGTCACCCCTCATCAGAGCATGACCGGTAACCTGTTGTTCCACTTGTTTTGGATGTATTGTCTACTACCTAATATTCCTATCTATACAGCGTTAGTGGTATATCAACTGTTCTATACAATCTACCGTTTAATATAAACTGCGTTTTCTTGTCACATAAAAACCTGACGCTTCTATCCTTTTCATAAATTAAGCATATTTCTTAGGTCTTCTACAAAATTATAAATCTTTAGTATTATTAACCGTAAGTACTAGAGTTAAACCTTTTAAATCCACACACACACTAAATCATCTTCATCACATGGCTTTCAATATCTATTTCTTGATTGATTACTCCAAGCTCATACACAATTTACGCTGTCTTAATCCTACATTCCTTTAATTACAGTTCGCCACTCTTTCAATACATCGTTCACATCATCCAAGCTTTCTCTTCCCTAACGACTAACACAACATTATTGGCAAACATCAAGCACTACATATCACATAATCCTATATATTTTTCGTAATTTCGTTAATAAATAGAAAACAGGTAAAGGCTAAACCCTGGTCACACTTACACTTAAACTAAATTCTTTCATTTCTCAACATACACTCTTCAATCTCGTCAACACACTTGATACATCTTTTCTAATACGTTCAGATATACTCTCACTTTCTTTAAACACCTCTCGGAACTCTTTTGATTTCTTAAAATCTATAACCACCAAACACATAACATACATATTCTTCTTTCTACAAGATGCGCATCATATAAAATATCGATCCATCATTGATTTTCTCGACATAATCCCAAACTGTAACTATCATGATGCTACCATATATCCTTATCCTGCAACATATTGCCTAATTCCTATACTCGCACAGACAGTATTAACTGCCACACAATTTTATTTATACCTACTCTATGTTTCATTGTGTTGGGTTTCAATTAAATTTAAATTATAAAGTAATTAACAAACCTATAAAATGATGATGATAATTAATTACCTGGGTATTGTGATCGGTATTGTGAAAGTTATTCTGACTTAAGCAAGAATTTCCATAAATGTAATTTTGATGCTCCATATATGAGTTCACTGATGATACCATTGCTGTGGTGTTTGTTAATAAATCACTCGATGTTGGTATGTAGTTTAATGGATATGTAAGCGCATTTGAATGTCGAGGATATAAAGTGGCTGGTGGAATGTAATGATTATATTGCGATTGTGGATACGACGGGGCAGAATTTATGTAGTCAGTATGGGAAGTACTTGATTTACTATAAGAAGGATCACTACACAAATTGCTATAGAGGTTTAATGGCCATGTGTTTGCTGCCTTCGGAAGCTGCGAATTCATAGCAGTTGAATGCTGATGGTGAATTGATGGCTGTATATTTGAATAATGTGAATGCAAAGTAGATGTTATATTTTTCTCAACTGGTGGATTCGTAACTCTCGCATTTGACAATTGTGTAGTATTGACAATTGATTGCAAGCCAGAAGGTACTTGAGTATCAGGAACAATGTTATTGTAATATATACTTAAATTCCGAGGGATTGGTGTTACCGGGAGTTGGCTATCGGTATTGTTGGATGAAAAATTATTGTAATATGGACTCAAATTTTGAGAAACAGCTGAAGAACTGACGTTCTGAAGGGCAACTGATGAACTTGACATCTGAGAGATTGCTGATGAACTTGACATCTGAGAGATTGCTGATAAACTTGACATCTGAGAGATTGCTGATAAACTTGACATCTGAGAGATTGCTGATAAACTTGACATCTGAGAGATTGCTGATAAACTTGACGTCTTAGGAACTCCTAATGAACTCGTTATCTGAAGGTTTGCTTGAGACACTACTGATGAACTCGACATCTGGGGGACTACTGATGAACTTGACATTTGAGCGACTTCTGATGAACTCGACATCTGAGGGATTGACGGTGAACCATAAGTTATATCAAATTCTGTAGGATTATTTGCAATGGTAAAAAATACACGTGGGGATTCAAATCCTGTTTTGGATTTTTTATTTTTAGTCGGTTTGTTTGTTGCACTTCGGCGTTTATTAACAGATGATGGTTCTTCATTGTTAACAATAACTGTAGAATTATTTTGGACAGTGGAACTTTTAAAACTCCCGTTGGTCATTGATATACTCCATTTTTTCAAAATTTCACTGACAGGACCAGTAAACCAATTTGATTTCTTAATAAATGAATTTGAATACATAAATTCAGGACGTACAGATATTTTAGGATAAACCGGAGCGGGACACACTTCTTCTATATTTTCTGGTAAGGTGAGATCAATAGTATCCATATAGTTATCATCCGTTTCGAGTTTTTTGCGCTCAAGTTCATTTGAAGGTATATCTGGTATTTCTGTAGTATCATTAGTAGCATGTACACCATCGAATTCCAACAGGTCGTCAATTCTTGACAATTCAAATACACCAATATTCTTAATTGTTTTAGAATTTTGATCAATAAATAGATATTTACACCGTTTAACCATTTTATAGTAAGCTGTTGCATTTCTAATAACTGACTTGTTGAGATCTATTTTAAATTGATTTTTAGAATTCATGAAGATACACGCCACAATAAAACACCAATCGAAGAACATAATAGGTAAAAACCAATTCCTCCATAATTCATTATCATGAAATTTGATATATTTTTTAATCGCATCAAGGAGCAAAATCAATTTAAATTTCATTTGACGTGGAGGAAATGAAGACTTTTGAGCAATTTCCCGAAATATGCAAATAACACAACCTGTAAATAGTGCCATATTATATTTGGTGCTATTAAACATATTAAGGAGCTTTATTATTAACTCTTCAACAAGTTTTGATTCCGTTGTTTTCCATAATACATCAACTTTGGATAGAAAATCATTATTTAAAAAATATGTGGCTAAATCTTTTATTATAGAATTGTTGAAAACATTATCATCGGGATTTAAAATTTTTCTAATTTTAAGCTCTATATTTGTATGGTCCAATATTTCAGATGGTTTTTTCGAATCGGCAATATCAGTGTCAATTTTCAATGCGTTTATATGAGAACTGGCCAAATCTTGAGTACTTGTATATTTTTCTAATGCTAAATTTATAATTTCTCCATTATTTATAATACTATTAGCATGACTACATTCATCTATTATTAGCTGTGGGAACGTGATTGCTTCAACATCGGTTTTAGTTTTCAATGGAGAATCTTTAGCATTTTGCACACCTTCATCTATAATTAATCGTGAAACCGCAAAATCTTCAGTGTCAATATTGGTGTCAGAAGCATTTTGACTACATTCATCTATAATTAATCGTGAAACCGTGATTTCTTCAACGTCAATGTTGGTATCAGAAGAATTATGACTACATTCATCTATTACTAATCGCGGAAACATGATTTTTTCAAGATCAATATTTGTCCAAAGTGCAAAACATTCAGCGTTTTGAACGTTAACATCAGTATTTAGTTGCGGGTTACTTAATGAACTAGAATGTCCTAGGGCAATACTATCAGTGTTTGGTTCAGTCACCGCATTTCCTTCTAAAGAATCGATTTCAGTGACACTTACGCGAAAACATTTAGTTAGGCGACAAAAATTGTCAGTCTCATCGATTTCAGTATCTGAAATTGTCGTTGTATCAGAATTATAATCTGTATTATGTGTTTTAGTATAATCATTAATTATTTTTGAAAAGAGAATTTTTCGATCATTTTTGTAATGATCCTTTCCAAAACATTGAATGATTTTCTTTTCAATTTTTTTTTTTAAACGGATTGGCATACTTTTTTTATCTTTCGTTTGTTTAACTATTTTAACATTTTTCCTGGAAACTTTACATGGCGAAATGGATAAAATCCTAAAACAGAATATTAAATAACTAAATTTAATTTTATGTTTAAATACGGACCAATGCACAATATAATACATCGAGTTAAATTTGGAATTAAGATATTTACCTGTTACTAACTTCAGAAGATAAATTAGTTCCAAGACCAAGTCTTAAACATGGAACAGTCTCAAGCTGTTTCATCATTGCTTTACTCTTTTCTACACATCCGGTTAAATCGTAACATTGTTCAAAAATCTAAAACAAAAAATGAATACATTCATATAAGATTTAAGTAAAAAAATACTAATTATCATAGGTTAAAACCGAGTTCACTTAAAATATTTAACGATTATTTTTATTCTTCAGGTACGGTATTGGTTTAAGCATGGTTTTTAAAATACATGAGTCTTGCTAACAGTGGTTCCAAAAACATTTGTTTCAAGCCCTGCGGTAATAACTATAAACAGTATACAATTACGCATTCGTTATTTAAAACAGAGAGTTTTAGTTATTTTAGATGAAGCTACGATTGAGCTTAAGACAATCAAGCTCACGTCCTTTTATAAAATAAAACCATTCATTTTAAAAGTACGCAAACAGTTTCAATACATTTTTCAAACACGCCAATAGCTATTTCGGTGGGAATAACATGTATTATCCCATTTAACATTCTAACTTTTAAACATGAATTTATTATGTACATCAATATTTTTCACTACCCCTTCCTCCCCCCTCAAAAAAAAGAAAAGTTATGCCTGAGTATCAGTATTCAAGCGTAACTTTCCTAGACCGTTGACTATGTACTCATCCGGAGATTTGATCAATTAAAAAAACGACTTGTTAGGTTTATTAAAACTGTATGTATTATAGTGATCCCGCTTACAGATACTGATGTACAAGGGTAATGGACGACAAAGTGCAATAAATTCAAGTCAATTTTATAATTATCAATATAGAATTTATTTTGAATGTAAATACAGAGATAAATACTGTTTGAAATATTTTTATACATCTGAAATGTGTATACTTAACGATCCAAGAACAATTTACTGTAAAAATATGTATAATATCTACTGAACAAATATTGTTTTCACAACCCTGATTAATTGTTTACAATTACCATAACCCTGTTCAATTGTCGGTACATCGTAATTCAAAACAAAATAGTTTGTATACTACTATAATAACTAATAACTAATCAAGTAGTATATTATCTTGTAATGCGTTCTAAGCATATTATATAATTCTAAGTAATGTAATTTATAAGCATTTAAAAATAAACATTTGTTATTTAAGTCAAATTAAGCGTTCAAAATGTTTTTTTTACCAATATACAAATATTTTATACTAGGTTTAACATGTAAAAATCATCTTATCTTAGGATCATTCTAAATTAATGAATTCTGAATTCAAAAATAAAACAAATAATCAATAAAATAAAGGATATTCTATTGTCAGCAACTACTATTCGTGATAGAGTTTGTTGCCGCCGCAACATAGTACTGTGGATGCATCGTATTGTTTTGAATTAAATATCATTATCGGGCAGCGAGGACAGCTGGACTCACACACACACACACACACACTATCACCTGTTGTAGTAATATTTATTTTTGTATGTACCTATTTAAATGTCTTGTGAGTTATATAATATGTAGATTAAATGTTATCGTGCCGCCGCTCCGTCTACGCGAATATAATATAACACGGCCGCCGTGATTAGTTCTTGGCTTCGTGCCGTACGTTGTCGCAGCAGCATCGATGCGTAAAAACAACAACGTTTTTTCTATCAAAGGGTTATGTTATTAATATTATTATATTAGTTTTTTTTTTTTTTTCACAAGTAAAATTTATCATCGGCTTTTGTATACACGTGAGCGCCAAAAGGGCCTATTAATATTATATTAAGTGTTAACCAAAATTGTGAGCGCGAATCGCCACTAATATTATTATATTATGTAATTCTCTACTTCAGCACTGTATTTATATTATTGTTCTTTCGGTTCTGATCGCCGAAGATTTTTTATCATTTATTATTGTGACCCATAAAGGCAATACTATATCTTTATTTATTATTCATTTACCTATGTTTTTTTTGTACAATTTTCATATTATAGCACAGGACCAGCTGGCCAGTCTGCGCTCCACAAACTGTGAGTTATTTTATTATATTTATTATATGTTTGTTACAATTATTGTTATATTCTGCCGTGCCAGAAGGGCGCATGGTAGGTACTAAATATTCTGCTAGGTCATAAGGACCGCATATTATCATTATTTTTATATTTTGTTAACTGCAATTTAACAAAACATTATATTTATATCTTGTTTGGTCATAAGGGCCGAACGTTATTTTGCACGCATTATTTTATATATTATTGCTATTCTGTTGAGCCAGAAGGGCTAATCTTTTTATATTTTCACGTAGCTCTAATAGCTACAGTGAATTATACCTATATTTTTATTATCTATTATATTGCTGTGAATTTTATAATATATATAATTTAGTATCATTTATGCTTATACTGATTTACAGCTTTAATAGCTGCCATCACATTAAATTGTTATTTGTTTGGCCATAAGGGCCGGGCATTTATACATAGGTACCTTTTTTCTGTTGGGCCAGAAGGGCCACAATATATTATATACTATTATAGCCATAAGGGCTTTGATTTATTATTTATATTATATTTTTATATCTATTATATTGCTGTGAATTTTATAATATATTTGTATCATTATTATTTAAATTTTGTATTATACAGCAACAGCAAATTATTACCAGAAACCGTGTTACCATTTTATTATTATTGTCTTATTGTACACACACCCACATATATACACACATAACACACAAATAATACACATAAATACACTACACGCATTACGTAGCTCGACAGTATTTGCCCGGCAATCCCGACCACTGCTGTTCGAGCTATTACACCACTACACACCCAGCTGGTCCTCATATATTCAAGAACTGTCCTAGGTGTTAGTGGTCAACAATTAGGTGTCCGGGGTGCGCATATTATTATTTTATGCTATCGGCCCGTCCAGAGTTATTAGAATGGCTGAAAATGTCACAGAACAACAGTCTTCCGATCTGAAGTCATCACCAGTATTTTCCTTAGCTAGTCATAAATAATGTGGCGTTTGAGCGCAACTCACTTTAATGCAACTGTATGTTTCATCTACAGGTATTCCTGAAGAATTACTAAGTTTACTACAGCTCACAGATCAAACTTGAGGAGACGATATTTGTGCTGCCAATACAGACTTTGTAAAAAAAGGGAAATCAACTTAGATAAGCTGATATGTCTTTGCACTGATGGATCACCAAATATTATTGGTAAATATAAACAAATTATAATTGTTTTTGGCCAAAATATGAAACATGAAGTACAATCTTTTCATTGTATCGTTCATCAAAAAGCTTTATGTGCTCAAATATTCCCAGTTGATATGAACCAAATCACGGCACTAGAAGTGAAAATTATTAACAAATTTATAGCCTCAGCTCTAGACCGTTTCGTGTATTACTTGATGAAGTTAATGCCCGTTGCATAAATCTTCTTATGTTCAATAATGTACGTTGGTTATCGAGAGGGGCTATTTTGAAGCGCTTTACAGCTTGTTTCGAACCCATAACAGATTTTCTAACGAACAAAGGCATCAACTACCCCGAATTATGCGATATGTTGCCCACAAAAATTGGATTTTGCTGTAGATTTGACTTCGTCTCTTAATCACTTAAATAAAAAGCTTCAAGGTAAAGGTAATACAACACATACGTTACTAGAAACCGTCCTTTTTTCAACAACTTCAGCTTTTTGCAGAAGATAGTGGCAGCGGAAATCTTGATCATTTTGAACTTTTGAGAGAGCACACAGAAAGCTCAAGTTGTATTATTGATTTGAAGTGCTTCAAATCGGCCATTCAATAAATAAAAACTCATTTAGTAAACGATATGAAGATTTTAGAAAATATAAGACCAAGTTAATATTCTTAACATCAAAACTCATAGCAGAAACTAGACAAATTTACTTTCCATAATTCCCATTTGTCGACGACAGAATATCCGCGTTGCAATTAATAGAATAGAAAAACAATCAAAAGTGCAAAAGCACCATTTTATGTTGTTATTAATTTCCCAATTTCAAAAGAAATGTAAAATATGGGAAAATAAATGCATAATACTTCAAATATGACAGGAAACTATTTAAATGTTGACAATTTTACTGAACTGAAAAAATACCTTAATATATTCGAAAAGAAAGTACATCAGTATTTATATCAGTGCGAAAAAATTAAATGCACATCGCACTGTTGCCATTTAATGAATATCGACTACAATGGCAATAAATACCAACATTAATTAATACAAAAATTAGAAAATATTTTTTAGAATCAATAATAATATTATTATTAAAAAACACGGCTGAAGAAAGAAAAATATAACATTTTTTTAGAAAATAATAAACATGCATAATAGACGAATGAAAATCAAAAAATATGCATTTCCCCCTAAAATTGACGAAATATGCAAGTTATACATTTTAAATTATCGATTTTTAAAATCCCCATTGTATATCACGGATTTCTAGTTTCATCTGGTATAAATCAGGAGCATATGGAATTGAATACAACTCCTACAATATCAGACCCCCCCCCCCCCCCCC